GGACCTTTACCTTTCTGTTGCCTCTCGTAGGCCCGGACTATATCGGGAGCTGTCTCTAGAAGTTCAGATCTCGTAAACCAGCGGTCGTCTTCCGGCTCTTGATAACTAAAATGAACCTTGTACTGTTTCTGTGGACGACCTCTACCTCCTGTCTTGAATACATCTTCAGCTACTATGCCATCGATGTCATATCTTCCATCCATGTCTGGTGGAATCATAGACCTACGGGATGGAAACTGATCACTTGTTTGAGAAGGTAATAACTTCGATGCATGGAAAACAGGGTAAGTGTGGAGGTGTGTTGGGAGTTCTATGGTATAGGACGGTCAATCTTCGCCGCCTTTGACCTCCAGAACTGGCCACGGCCCTCTATATGTAGGCAGTAACTTCTGCGAAATGTTCTCTTCAGGCGCAAACTCTTTAGACTGGACCCAGACCAAGTCGCCTACTTGGAACTGTGAGGGGCGACAGTGCTTGTTCGCCTGTTCGATCATGCGGTGCTGGGCCTTCCTGAGATTCTCAACAACAGTTGCTATCTCCTTCTCGTGCTGAATCGCAAACTCCCTTGTACCAGGCGGTAGCCTGTGAATCTGATCCCGGTTAAGTCCCTCAAATGTTCTTCGCGGTCTAAAGGACTTATGGAGCTCGTTGGAAGTGCAGGAGGTTAACAGGTGCAGGTTGTTGTTGTATGCGCTGGCTACCTTGGGAAGCATTTCATCCCAATTGACTTGATCAAGCCTAATGTGCATGCGCAGGACTTGCTGCAGGATCTTGTTCATCTGTTCAGTCTGACCGTTCGTCTCTGGATGACGGCCAGATGACATCAACAACTTGGATCCGTAGACTCGCATCGACTCCTGCCAGTTTAAACTTGTGAACCGGGTATCTCTATCGCTAACTATAGACAACGGAGCCCCGTGTTCACTGACCCAATGATCAAAGAACTTCTGAATTACTAATTTTGTTCTTGCCTCTGACGGCAAGGTAACAAAAATAGCGTACTTACTAAATCTGTCTACCACGACCATAACTTGGCTCTTGCCATGCCTGCTTTTAACGCCGGTGTCCATGAAATCAATGGACACTGAATCTCCCGGCTGATCAGGGATAGGTCAAGGTATGAGAAGACCTTAAGGGGCACGCGTAGTTGATTTATTCCTCTGGCAGACTTTGCAACTGCGAACATACTCTATGCAGTCATTTTTCATTCCTGGCCAGGTGTACGCGTGCATCAGGTTGGCTAAAGTCTTCTGCCAACCAAAGTGTCCTTCTGTGTCGTGACATTCCCCTAAGATCAGACTCCGGATCTCTTCACTGTTGGGGACGCACAAACGGTCTACTACGTTAGTCTTCTCAAACAACAACCCGTCAGTAGTGCGATAACATGGTTCGGACTCTGGGGCTTCCTTAACTCTCTTAAGGAGCTCACTGTAGATGGGGTCCTGCGTGTACGCTTCTTTAACTTTCTGTTGTAGGTCTGACCCTATATCTAGATAATGGACTATGGCCCCAAAGTAATCAGCTCTCCTACTCAGAGCGTCCGCAACTACGTTATACTTCCCTTTGACTGGCTTGAGCTCAAAGTCATATTGATCTATTTCAACGGCCCACCTAGTAAGCTTAGGTGTCATCTTGGCCTGCGTCTTTAACCATCGCAATGTCTCGTGGTCAGAATAGACTTTGAAGTGCCTCCCAAGCAAGTAGTGCTTCCAATGTTCTAATGCTTGCCTGAGAGCGTAGAGTTCCCTCTCATAGGTAGATGTCGCCACCTTCTCTGAAGGCATCCTAGCGGACATGAACTCTACGGGTCTATAACCATTGCCATCGTCTTGCTGCAACACCGCGCCTATGCCGTACTGGCYAGCATCCGTAGTAACGACAAAGGGCAAGGACGGATCGACTACCTTAAGGACTGAATATTCTATTAATGCCTGCTTCAACTTCTTCATAGCAGATGTGCAGTCCTTATCCCACTTCCAGATGGTCTCCTTTCTGAGCAATCTGCGAAGGGGCGCAGCGATAATGGAGAAGTTCCTCACGAACTTCCTATAGTAGTTAGCTAAGCCCAAAAACGACCGCAACTCAGTCAGCGTGCGCGGTGTGGGCCAATCTCTAATCGCTGCGATTTGACAATCTTCTGGCTTAACGCCGTCTCCGTTTAAGACGTGGCCTAGATATAAGACTTGGGTCTTCGCCCAATCGCACTTCTTTGCATTGATCTTGAAGTTAGCTTCTCTAAGCTTCTCCAAGACCTGCCTGAGATGACCCTGGTGCTCTGGGAGGTCTTGCTAAACACTAAGATATCGTCTAAGTAGACAACAACAAATCTGTTTAACCATGGCCTAAACAAATCGTTCATACAGTGTTGGAACGTCGCTGGCGCATTGGTTAGTCCAAAGGGCATCACTATATACTCATAGTGCCCATATCTAGTCCGGAAGGCTGTCTTATACTGATCATCAGGATGCACCTCTATTTGATGATATCCGGATTTCAAATCTAGCTTAGAGAAGTACTTTGCCCCCTGCACTCGATCTAAGAGATCATCTATCCTAGGCAGTGGCTCAGCATTCTTGACTGTAATAGCATTCAGACCCCTATAGTCTATACACATCCTCAACTCTCCCTCCTTCTTGGGGACAAAGAGGACAGGTGCTCCAAAAGAAGACGAACTGGGCCTAATCCAACCCTTCTTAAGGAGCTCGTCCAACTGTCTGCGAAGCTCCTCTAACTCCCGCGGGGACATTCGATACACAGATCCTTTGGGAGTTCTACTACCAGGCTCAATCTCGATACGATGCTAGATAGGCCGCGACACTACTCCTATCGGCGGCTCGGTTAGATCTTTAAACTCCTCTAGCAGCTTGGCAATCGCAGGGTCTATAGGCTTCTCCTCCTTAGGCTCAGTCACCGGCCTAACATAGGCAACAAAGACCTGCTCCTCCAGTTGCTCCTTTTTCACTAACCTGGCGAATGCAGGAGCACTAAGGCAGCAATGTGCCAGGGGGGTTTCTACTCCTGACACATGAAACAGGCGGGCAGTCTTAGCCTCACCTGAAGGACTAGGGAGCCTACACTCGTGCTCCTTTAAATGGAGTGTGGCCCCGACTGCCTCTCCCCAATCCATTCCCAGAACAATATCGAATGGGAGGCTATCTTCTACGAGGAGAGTCAGGGAGTGGAGGACCTTTTCCACTTTCCCATCCTTCTCTAGGCGAAAATACGCCTGGACTCCCTCTACGTAATCCTCTACAACCATGGTGCGATTGTCTGCGAGGATACTAACTATGGGGTCTGTTAGTTTTTGGACTTTAAGTCCCAGCTTCAACTTCTGCAACGCTTTTCTACTAATATAGCTGCGGGTGGCCCCTGAATCTACTAGGGGCCCTACTCTACCTCTAAAAATCTATGTATCTAGTAATATAAGCTTCCCTTTATTCTCCTTCTTCATCTTGGCCCAGGCGGGCATCCTCTCCTTCAACTCTTCGGCCACGCCTGTGAGGGAGGTGTCTAGAGAGACTCTAACACAAGCAGTCTCTGGACAGCGATCTAGACACCGACCAGCAACCTCTGCCATAGGCACATGTAATGTGGGAGTCTCTTGCCGGCTAGCGCCGTGTTCCCCACATGGCCTAATGGTAGGGGCAGTTGCTACCCCTACCGGCGGCTGCCTTTTGGCCCTTGAGCAGCCGTCCGGGTCTCTCTATACTTAGGACAGTATTTGATGATATGGCCCGGGTCACCGCAGAAAATGCACTGGCCCCGGTCCAATCGCTGTTGCCATAAGCTCTCGTCCAGACCCAGACTTTCCCAATGTCTACCCCGAGGTAGCCTTGGGTGCCATCCACCTACCCTATAGGGAGACCTATTCCTAGGACGGTTTTGCGGGGGACCTTGACCCCTTCCTCCCGCTTGGCGTTTTCCTCCCCTGCCGCCAACCCCCTGATCGCCCTGAAATCGGTTCCCTGAGGCCCGACCCCCTTGGCCCTGGCCTCGTCCTCCTCCTTGCGGCCTCCCTCCAGCCGAGACAGCAGCGTAAGTCCTCCCCTGGCTCGCACCGCTGTCCTCCTCCTCTAACCCCCATTCAATCTGTTCGTAGGGGATCTCGTCCACACTACCTTCATCTAAGGTAAGGACAAGGCTATCCTTATTCTTCACTTCCCCTGAGATAGTGCGGCCCTTCCATTGCTTTCCTTTATCGAGGTCTTTGTGCTAGAAGGTAGAAAGTGACACCGACTTCGCCTCGAAAGCCACCACTTCACGACTAAGGGAATCATAAGTGGTGGCAGGATCTTCGCTCTTCGCGAAGAACTGTCCTCGAAAGGCTTCGGGCATAGCCCGATAGAAGAGGCCGACCAATTGGGCCTCTGTGACCCCATGGTCAAGGACAACCACCAATTCATCCATCGTACCCTTGAGTGCCCTGGCACTCTTCCATTTACGAGCGTGGATGGTCTGGAGCTTATCTGAGGCCTTAACACTGCGAGCGACAGCAGCAAATCGCTCGCGCAGCAATTTCATGAAATCAACGAGGGGGGTGAACGATCAGTAGGCCACTGCATCATTGTTGCAGTTGGCAGCGCGGACTAAGGACCTTGCGAAACTGGCGGCCTCATCTCTAAGCGCATGAATGACAATTAACACGTGCTGATCTGGGGAGACCTGTTGCAGATGCATATAGGTCTTGACGTTGGCCTCCCAGTTGTCAAAGTTTTCGTCCCTTTTCCTACTGTAGGAATCAGGGAATTTGACTTTGACTGGCTCCCTACGAGGATGCGGCTCTTCCTCCTTGGGAGCTACCACCTTGACGCCCTCAATGGCGCCGACGCAAAAGCGCTCAGTCTTCTCGAGGCGATGATTCACCTCGGCTCCTACAGCTCTACCAATTGGCGAGCAAAGTCCCGGAACCCCATCCGCATCGAGCGCACAACTATATCCTGGCTTCGGCTAAACTCATATTGCTGTTCTTGCACTCTGGCTAAACACTCAACGCTGTGGGCGATGATCTGTACCTTTTGTTGGAGGTCTACCTGGGTGGTCAACTGGGTAGTTAAAGTCCGTACCTCCGCCAATTCCTACATTGCTGCACTCGCCGCCTCCACTCTTCTTTTCTTCTCCCTCATCATTGCGAGTTTCCACACCATCCTCGTTTCATCTTCCATCGCCTGCCGCTTCAGAACATCTTCTTCTGCTTTCCATTTCTTCATAGCGGTTTCCTGCTCGTCCTTGGGGATGTACATAGTTACCTCTTCTTCTTCGCCCAGGGATAAGTTGGCGACCCACTCCGAAATTCGTTTCTCCATCTCTTCATCCTTGTTGCCACTGTGCTGCCCTCTCCTCCTTTGCAGTGGCACCTCATCCTCTTCTTCCTCTTCCACCTCCTTCAACTTCTCCTCTTCTTTCTTCTCCAACCTCTCTTTTTCTCTGGCCATCTCCTCGTCTATCTTTCTCAACTTTGCTGCCTGCTCCTCCTGCAGGGCCTTCTTCTTGGCCTCCTTCTTCTCTTTTCTCTCCTGCAGGATGGCGGCCATCTTCTCCTCCTCCTTCGTGTAAGGTGTAGTGGAGGTGCTGCCCCGGGTGCCTACTCTACACGTGAGCGTGGGCCAGAATCCCAGGGGGAAGAGGAGACGCCAGAGGGTCCCCCACAAGGAGAACCCAACAAGTAACCCGTACATCGGATAGTCATCCATAGTGGTGTCAGGTGCACGACAAAAGTCCCACTCCTCACCGCTTAGACCTACCCGGATACTGACCCACTGACTGACTGACTCTCTAAGGACCCGCACACAACACACACGCACACACCACTACAGCTATGGCAGCGCTAGCTGCCACTACCCTATCGCTATACTACACTTCTCTGCCCACTTCGACTTCGGGCACACTGCAGACCTCCTCGCACAAGCAGCTGAGGCAGCGCTTCCGCATGGCTTCCGCAGGAATGGCTGAATGGCTGGGCGCGACCTCTTAATTTATACTTATGGGATGCGTTGGTCTGCCCTGTAACCCTGGCCCCCTGGTGCACACAGTCCCAGACGGTACTTGCTGGACAGGACTGGACTGACTGGACTGGGACTGTTGACTCAGCGTGGTGGACCTACACCACTTGACCACTTGCCTCTACCGAAACAGGGGCTGACTCCGAAAGGCCACTTCTAGAAACCTCTACTTTGGCCTTTCGGGACGGTAGCAGCTACGACTCTGCCCTTTCAGGTAAGTAGCAGCTACGACTTTGACCCTTCGGACAGTCTACAACTAAGACCTCTAGACTGCCTAGACTCCTGCCCGACAAGTCTACAGTTCGAATCCCTTCTACCCTGTAACCTACGAGATCTTACCTACCACTGGCGGCCCTACAGGTCGCAGGTTCAAATCTACAGGTCGACACACTTACTGTACACAGGTAAGGCGGGGAACTAGGGATCGAGCCCTGGAATCTGCATCAGCTACTGCGAAGTGGTGAATACCGTTTCACTCCCGCCGGCCTAAATTCGAGGTCCTCCGAGAAGATTTCAGTCCAAGGCAGGACCTTTACCTTTATGTTGCCTCTCGTAGGCCCGGACTATATCGGGAGTTGTCTCTAGAAGTTCAGATCTCGTAAACCAGCAGTCGTCTTCCGGCTCTTGATAACTAAAATGAACCTTGTACTGTTTTTGTGGACGACCTCTACCTCCAGTCCTGAATACATCTTCAGCTACTATGCCATCGATGTCATATCTTCCATCCATGTCTGGTGGAATCATAGACCCACGGGATGGAAACTGATCACGAAGTGGTGAATACCGTTTCATATCACGAAACCGGCAGGTCCTTCTCCTCCTCCTCCTCCTCCCTTCGTCTTCTTCTCTCCGCCTCCTCCTTTCTCCTCCTCCTCCCTATTTCGTTGGTTTTCTTTATCGGCGAAGTGGCACCTGTCCGTCTCTCTCTCTCTCTCTCTCTCTCTCTCTC